TTCGAAACAATCTAAATAATATATTATTATTATTTATTTTTTTTTTTTTTTTGTTTATATTATCCAAGAAGTGACTCACGTTTAAACGACGCCGATACAAATTATTTTTACTTAAAAATGTACAGTGTAATAATATGATAATTATGTGACATAAAGTAGAGATACCCGGTCCTCGTACCGGATCCTTTAATTGCTAATAAATACAACCAAGAGATTAAAATATATTCATACTTGTTTTAACGATTTTATAATCGCACTTCTTTCTCCGGATGCAAATTGGATGATACATATTTAATTTTTTAAATTTAAAAATGGTAATTGCTACAGCTCTAAAATCCCACGAGACATAGTTTTGTTAATTCCGATTTTTTTTTAACGGGTCTACCTTTAAACCACACTTTGTGAGTCATTTCATTTATAAACATAATGTAGTTTAAATTGATCTAAATTTTATATACTTTGGATCTGTAATAGTCTCGATCATTTCATCTTCAATTTCAATAATTTATCTAAATTTTGGAATTAGAATAGACAAATTGATTGTATTATACTACTTATCTTTAAATTAAGATTATAATAATCAACTTTGCTGTGCACATTATCTACTTAAATTAGTGTTAATAAACATATTATTCCTATTCCTTAATGTTTCCTAGCGGAGCGTGCGTGCAATTTTATACGATTTTATGATAATATTTTCGACACGGTTAAATGCCGCTTGTAACTATACTGTGTATTAGATATTTAATATGCTAACAATTGTATATATATATACTCAATTATATCAGACTACGTCTTAAAGCGGTATAATTTTTTAATTTATCTATGATTCACAAATAAATGTAAAGAATACATAAGTACAACATAAGTAGATACTGAGAATACAATCAATCTTAGTTATAATGAAAATATCAATCGATTTTGGTACTTCTCTGTTCAGAATCGTTATTCTTATGCAATGATTTATTATTCCAATAATAATAATAATGATAATAAAACATTCATTGCTGTGTGTTGTGTCCTATCTACCTTCAGCATTAGAATAATTTTTAGTGTTTTATCATACAAATATTATATTATATATATATATCACATTCGAGAACTTTGCATATTTAAAAAAACATACTAATGCAATAAACTGAAGAGAAATTATGATTTAAAAAAAACACATCTACCATTTTATGATAAATACTTATTTTTTAAAGTTTAATTCCAAATAGGTATTGTTTATAAATAGGACTAGTCACTGTAGGGTACCTTTACTAAAACAATTTATGTCATTAAATCTGTATTTTTTTTCCTATGTATTTGTATATGTGAAAATTCTATACTACAGTATATTTTAATATAAATAAAATTGGTTATAACATTACACTACACGAGAATACATTGTAAATATCTCTAAAAGTCGATGTATATAACTACATAAGTTTGGATCTCGCCATAGTATCCAATTAAAGTAATAGAAAAAGAAACCCCGGAGTTTATACTCGAATGCGCTTGACATTTTACTCAATTAAAAACATTGTACGTATGCTATTCATTGTGTAATACATTAATATTTTTGTATCCATCAATTCAAGATTTGAATTTACCATTCATACAGTACTTATAAGTTATATTAATGATCTAATAATAGAACAAAGAGAAAAAACCAATAAATTATCCACCAATTAAAATTCTTTGAATATACTTTTGTTTCAGGTGGTTAATATAATAATATATATGTACCTATATTATTCCTGTTTGTGGTTTTTGTTTGTAAATTATAACTCAAGTTTGAAATAAAAATTTTTTACTCATTAGAAATATCAGTGATATTTTTATTTTTATTTATATATTATAATTTTATTAAATTGAATTTATAAATAAAATGCGTTTTTAATGGTATGTAGTAATTAAATGATCTAGTTTAAAATTGAATTTCAAATCGTACAAATTGGATCACTTACCTTAGTTTAATTTTAATCAAAAGAAGACATTTTTTTTTTTTATTTAGGTAATGTATGTACTGTTAAAATATATATGATTTGGTGTTGTTTTATTTTAAATTTGAAAGCGATGATGAATCATATGTAAAATGACATTTTTGAAGTAAAAGTGTTCTCAAGATGATTTTTTTTTCATAATGTGATTACTGATTACAAACTTACTAAAAGCTTTATAATTTACACAATTTTAATATTTTTCAAACTATGAATTAAGAAAAATAATTTGTTTGAAGTATCATCTGTGTTCACTTTTCGATATTATTGAAGTTATATGAACTTTTTGGAGAATTTTTACTACTTTTAAAAGATATTTCAGGACACAAAAAAAAAAAAAAAAACTAAACTAATACTTCTTGTTCATAATAAAAAATACACTTATTTAGTACGTAACAATACACATTACGGTTATTAAAATTGATGAAATCTCTAAAATTACCAGTTATGTTACAGAAGTAAACTATACATACCCTGATTATAAAACACTAGCTATTTATATATATATTTTGAAATTCGTGCGGAAAAGTAATTTTAATTATTATAAATTGAGATACCAAAAAACGGAAACATCATTAAAGCTTGATAATTATTGAAATATTAAAGAATTGAAATTTAAATGTTCAAAATTTGGTACTGAATTTGTGTAGCAGATCATCGTGTTTTGAATAAGATATCCGCCTAGTTTAACTTTCCTTTATAATAATTTGTTTAGATTTTCATGTAATTAATATGATTTTATATAACTACATATAAAAGTTATGTTTTAGTATTAATTACAGTTAAATAATATAACTAGTTATAATATATTAGTAATTTTTGTATACAATTTCACTTTATCTGAAATTTCACTTTAACTGATAAGGTACATAAATACTGCAACATAATTGGTATGTCCATTACCAGTTTTCAAATGATCGTGTAGTAAACATTAAACATGATAAAATTAACTTAATAATATTATATACTAGGTACGCGATAACCACGACATTCTTTAGAGTTTGTTAATTATTCATAAGAGTATAATATTATTTTAAATTATTGTAATCCAACAATAGGTTTGCTTAAAATTTGGATTTAATATGGAATAAAATTGTGTTTTTATATAATAATTCTAGTAATAATGTACACAATATGATTTTGAACAATACATTTATTGTAAAAAACTATATTGGTATTTAGTTTATTTGGTGTTTTTGTTAACGATACTCACCATTCAGTAATATTCGTGTTGTAATAATTGTTGTTAAATCGAATTTTCATGCACGTTTTAGTTGTTTGTGTTTTATACCTAACGTCAAACAGTGAATGTTGGAAATTTAGCATAATTCGTTATAGTATGTTACCACGCGAGTGAATCTTAAGATGAACTTCAAAGTATGTTCAAAGATGTTACGTACCTACCTATTATATTATTTTATTACATAAAAATATCATTTATTATATATAGCATAAGTGCTATAGAAAAACAATTATATAATACTATTAAAATCCATAAAATTGTAACAATTACTTTATAATGGTTTTATAAAATTATAATTAACAAGATATTCAAGTGTTAGTGTTTAAATAAATTATTAGGTATAATTTTGATTTGTTTTTGACTTACACATGCGAATAAAAATAAAAAATAATGTATTCTTAATCTTTAAAAATTACATTCGTTTCATAATCTTTAAATTAAGTACGAGTACCTATAATTATTTGAATTTGACATTTTTTTTTGTTTGTATATTTTCATTTTATTTCTTGTAAAATGTCTATGTAGACTTACAATTCATCTGGCTGATTAATAATATGTTGGTATTTTATACATTTTTAATTTTTTCCCAGTAGTATCGATCAAATTACAATTATGTTTTATATTTTGATTCAAATGGCATAAATGCATACATTTTTTTATGTCTTAACAAAATATTAATTCAACTTCATTAACCATTATATTAATAATTTCAAAGTATGTTTATAAGATCAATATTAAAACGTGAATTAACTTAAAAACATATCAATCATTTTTGTTGTTATTATTGAATTTTGAACATTTGTTACTCTTTAGTATTTACTATTTTATTTTTAAAATAAACCTTGCAATTTCTGTTGTTAAAATAATTATGAATAAAAAATTAGATTAGTTATACTATTCATATTTAATCAACTAGATTATGATTATATATATTATACATTACTCATAATAATATTTAGAATATTTAAATATTATATAATATAATGTGTAATTCATCAATAATTATAATTTATTTATTATTTTATTATGTTCAAAGTCAAAAATGTATTTTCAATTTAACTTTTTTGTGTAAATTACATAATAAGTATCAAAAATTCTATAGTAAAAGCAAAACGGTGGGGTAAAAATTATATTATATATATATATATATATAAATACAAACCCAGTTTTCACTGTCATTTGAATAACAAAGCCATAGCTCAAGAGTTTTGCGGGGGCGACCAGATGAGTAATGAAAAAATCCATTTACGTTAATTATTTCATTTTTTCTTATATAGTCAGCAAATTTTTCTTTGTAAGAATTTTCGATAATATCTCATACAACATGAACTGTTTTAATATGTCAAGAACACACGGTTTTTTTTTTAAGTTATTTATGAACAAAAGTTCAAATATCTGTACAATTTTCATAGAATTATGTTTTTTTCTCTGAAAAGTACATCAGTTCTATTAATTAAGAATAATCACAAATATTAGTAGTTATATAAATCGAATAATTGAAAATATAAATCAATTATTACTATATATCATATAAGAAGCAGTTTTTTACCAGAAATACGTTTAACTCTAGATATTCTTGAAAAACATTATAATATTGTTTGGTAGAGTAAATACATTTAATAACAACTAATATTTTTAATTAAAAAAAAAAGTACGAAAAAAGTAAATTTTGAGAAATAACATATATTTATTAAGATAATAATAAATTATAATTTATTATTCAATAACATAGTTATTTAAAAACAAAACAAACAATAATTTTTTTATTCTTATTTAAACATTAAAAAAACTTAACAGTTAAGTTGTAACATTTATGATTTGGTATTCGAAGTTGAATTGTAATATAACTTCACTTTTTTATCGTGGTTGATAAATAGTGAAATAATTAGTATGACGGAGCTTCGTATTGTTTGGCTGAAACGCCATATGACGATTCCTGCTTGTTATACGCAGGTGCGTTATAAGCAGACTGTGCGCCATAAGATGGTTCTTGTTTATTGTATGATGGTGCGCTGTAAGCAGCTGGTGCTGATTTGTATGCTTGGGAGTCCTTGTTGTATGCTGGAGCTGATTTGCTGTAACCTTGAGCTTCTTCTTTTTTTACATCTGCGTTGAATCCGTTTTCGTCGGCGGTATACTCGACTGTTCTGCGGGAACCATCAGGCTCTAACAAAGTGTAGTATCCTTTTACGTGATATCCGTCACTTTCTTCCTTTTGGCTTTTAATGTCATATGTATGTTCATCATTTACGCTGTATTCGAATTTGTATGGGGCTGGTGCGTAAGATTCTTCAGCATAAGCTTTTTGACTTGGGTAAGATGGATATGCCGATGCGGAGTGGGATGGTTGTTTTTCGTAAGACGCAGCAGGAGCAGAATATGCTTGTGGCTTAGCTTCGTATGAGGGAGCTGAGTACTGGGCTACTGGGTACTTGG